AATCCCCTCAAATTTGCGATCCCCTCATATGAGGGAGAATTCGCGATCTTCTCAAATTCGCGATCTTCTCATATGAAGGAGAATTCGCAATCCCCTCAAACTTGCGAATTCCTCATATGAGGGAAAATTCGCAACCTTCTCAAATTTGCGATCCCCTCATATGAGGGAGAATTCGCAATCCCCTTAAATTCGCGATCCCCTCATATGAGGGAGAATTCGCGATCCTCTCAAATTCGCGATCTTCTCATATGATGGAGAATTCGCGATCCCCTCATATGAGGGAGAATTCGCGATCCCCTCAAATTCGCGATCCCTTCATATGAGGGAGAATTCGCAATCCCCTTAAATTCGCGATCCCTTCATATGAGGGAGAATTCGCAATCCCCTTAAATTCGCGATTTCCTCATATGAGGGAGATTTCGCGATCCCCTCAAATTCGCGATTCCCTCATATGAGGGAGAATTCGCGATTTCCTCAAATTTGCGATCCCCTCATATGAGGGAGAATTCGCGATCCCCTCATATGAGAGAGAATTCGCAATCCCCTCAAATTCGCGATTCTCTCATATGAGGAAGAATTCGCAATCCCCTCAAATTCGCGATCCTCTCATATGAGGAAGAATTCGCGATCCCCTCAAATTCGCGTATTCCTCATATGAGGGAGAATTCGCAATCCCCTCAAATTCGCGATCCTTTCATATGAGGGAGAATTCGCGATCCTTTCATATGAGGGAGAATTCGCAATCCCCTCAAATTTGCGATCCCCTCATATGAGGGAGAATTCGCGATTCCCTCAAATTCGCGATCCCCTTATATGAGGGAGAAGTCGCGATCCCCTCAAATTCGCGATCCTCTCAAATTCGCGATCCCCTCATATGAGGGAGAATCCGCGATCCCCTCAAATTCGTGATCCCCTCATATGAGAGAAAATTCGCATTTCCTTTAAATTTGCGAATTCCTCATATGAGAAAGAATTCGCAATTCTCTCAAATTTGCGAATTTCTCATATGAGGGAGAATTCGCAATTCCCTTAAATGTTTTACTTTTCTTTTCACTATGTTTTCAATGCATTTGACAAATGTTGACACGCTTTCTTCTATACTACAAGTAATAGAAAAAATAGGAAGGTAAACAGGTTTTGTTTCTTACAATGTTGAAGTATATCACATAAGAGTATATTTTACATACTAATGAATTTGTCATGTTTAATTGTTACGTACTTTGTTTTAATAGAGAAAGCAATATTAACATAGTTGCAACAGCAAGCTGTATTATAAACAACATATATTCAAACGAATGCCTGGGCCTGATGGTACGTATGAAATTATTTATTTTATTTATATACATGTAAGTTATAGAATCTTTTTTTCATACATAGATTGTGGTACTTACGTCTTATAGTTATTTAATAGTCAATACATTTTATAATTTGGTTTTGGTAGAATGTAAAAATAGTAGTTGTTTATAATAGTGAGTATTTTTACACAATGCAAGTACATCACATTATGTAATAACAGCACAAAGTGTTTTCAGATTTCCGATTCAAGATTTTTCGACTATTTGCGAAAAATACATGATACGGTAAATGTTTTTATACACTTTTTGAAGTATATATAAGTATTTGTTTTGAAATAATTATTAGTTACGTATGCTTTTAGTTTGTTTTGTTGTAGAAAAATATATATTATAAATTAAAAATATATATTATTGTTAAAAATAAAATATATAATATTGTTGTAGAAACATATATATATTATAATGCTTATATTTTATAATTTTTATTAAACTTATGCAAAAGAGTATCAGATTTTAGCAAAATTATACTGTGTGGTTTGTTGTAGCCATTATTTGTTCTTGATGCCATTGAAAAGAAAGCTGAATATCGTCGGAATAATTTATATTACATAGAATTGACTACATCATATATCTAAGTAGTAAACAGAGTGCACTTAAGAATTGAGTAAAATATACGCTAAACAGTAAACACAATATAAAGATATGAAAAGAAAACAAAAAGGAAAAAGAAGTAACTTAACTTATGTAACAAATATATGAGGAAATAATAAGATATAAGTTTTCTATTAAACAATAAATAAGTTAGAGATGATATGTTCTATGATATATACGTTTTATATGCTTTTGCGTTAATTCGATATTTTAATTATCAAAGTATCACGTTTTGAGATACACTTAAATTAACGGGAGGAATGACGGACGACCGACACGAAGCCAAAACTACGTTTGCTTAAATTTCGTTTGTTTGTAATTAGTATCACATTGTACGTAAATCATATTAAGTGTAATAAACATTTTATTCTGTTTCCTCATAAAGCTTCATTTTTGTAGCAGAACCCTATTTTTATATTTTTTTTACCTTTACACTTAAAAGCATTAGTCTCTACTTCTTAGTAAACTTAAAAAAACGAAGCAGTGGATCGTAATATGTAATACTAAAGTAATATGTAATAATAAAGTTTGTCTATGATTATTCTCTATCATTGTATGTACATTAAAAGAGAATTATATTTTCACTACAGAAAAACATATTCCGCTTCACTTTTGCTTGCAACAGTTGATACTATCTTTGTTTTATGTTTCAAATTTCGATCACTTAGTCCGCGATGCTCTTAATTTTTATTGCATCATAAAAATATCGATTGACAGTTTATTGTTTACATATATTTACAGATTTTTTTTAAATAAAAATCAAGTTTTAATCATTGTTTTACATTTCATCTATGTTAGTACATGTCTAATTTTGTGTTGTATGTACTTTCTACTAATACAGCACAGTATATCAATAAGATAATCATATCTTGTAGATAAATCTATACTAGATATTGCAATATCAAATAATTATTTATTGAATATCTTTTAGACATTTGCTGAAATAGTTTCCACGTACATAAAATTGAGCTGTATTATCCCATTATGGACAGACTTTGAAAATGACGTTTAATTAGTCAGTCTGGATTAGTGAGATTTACTGTAAACTTAAACATCTTTTGTAAACAATCAAAAGATTTTTTATTATTAATTTTTTGAATAAAACATTTGAACAATTCTGCATCAAAAAAAAAAAAAAATTACCATAGTAAAAAAAGTTTTAGTACTTTCAAAGATAAACGTTTCAGAAACCTTAGTTTTAGTAGAAACGCCGATGCACAGATTTTGTGTGAATGTAAGATACCCATGTTTGTCTGCGAAAAATTTATTGTACAAAATTGTTTATATTATATATTATATATGTACTTTATGTAACACAAATATCAATGTTGTACGATATTTCGGCTCTGTTAAAATTGATAATTAACGAGATATGAATTAAGAAGATCTGCAATTCAGCGTGCATGCAGCGTAAAGGGCTGTCTATAATGGAGAGTTTTAGACCGTAACAGTAAGAAATTGACCAATCACAGACAAAGTACAGAAGAATAATCAATTGTGATTTGTCAATTTCTTACTGTTACGGCCTANAACTCTCCATTGTAGGCGGCTCTTAAGGGGAGCGTAAGGACAGCTTAGTCTTTCGCGGTCGCGCCGTTGCAGTGGAATGAGTGAAGCTAATAGAATATCATATGCACACACACTTATACATAAACAGCATATAAGCTGTGTTCGGGGAGCGCGCTATCCGCGATAAAGACTAGGCTGTTCTTACGCTTCTCTTACGATGGATGCACGCTGATTAGAGGGTCTTTATTAATTTATATCTCGTTAATTATTGAGAATCTTCCGAAGTGGTATAGGACTTTTCATCTTAGAATAACCCCTTTTTCTTGCCTACGAGCGAAGAGACAGCAATAATAAGACACTTTGTATATACAGAGTGTCCGACAATTACTGTAAAATCTCTCGTAGGCAGGTAGAAGAAATAAGATTGAGTAGAAAAGTCCTGAACTATTTTTTTTTATTATATATAGCAAACGTATAATTATTGAATAAATCAAGCCAAAATCAACACCAACCTGTAGCCGAACGCATCAGTGAACTACGCGCCTGATGTGTGTGAGCGCTCCGCGCGGCTCACTGACGTGCGCCCGGCTAAAGTTCCACACTGATTGGCTTGATTTATTCAATAAATACTTTTTTATTATATGTAATAGAAGAGAATGATGTAGTACTTTCCGACTCAGGTTTACTTTTTCTACCTGCCTACGAAACATTTTATACTCACTAAAAATCGGACACCCTGTATATATATATTTATATGTATATATATATATATATATATATATATATATATATAAATATATCGATTATGTATATAGATTAAAATTTGTGTGTAATTGTAAGAAAACCAACAATAAAAGTAAAACATCTTGGAAATGAACCTATAGTGTACATTGAAGAAACATTTCAAATCTTCAATATTTTCATCAACATGTATATATATATATATATGTATTTATATATATATAAATATATATGTACATTTCTTGTAAACACACGCGTTTACATCGTGATATGTAGTTATTATTCTACAGGAACGACCTTTAGTTATCATAGTGGTTTCTCGAAGAGTCAAAATCGCGGATACGCTTAAGCTTAAGCAAGTCGTTTGTGAACTTGTACTGTTTGTAGGTATCTGTTTCAAAATCTATGATTTAATGAATTGGACGTTACTACAATAAACATAGTAAAACATTATGCGTTTATATCAGAGGTGCACAACTCACGCGGGCCGACTAGCCCAAGTAGTACCGTTGCGATATTTCTAACATCCTTACCAGTGACCGCGAGCTTACCACTCTACTACGTACATATGTACATACGCTCCGTACCATTTTATATGTGTGTACGACATACACATTACCATCCGGCGATTGCCATCCATCTTCATTGCCCCATCAGCGCTTTAGGCAAGAGCTGAGAAACTCTCCACGCTACGATTGAGGAAAGAAGTGGAATAAACTTGATAGCCAAGCGTGGCTACTGAGCCGCCAGTTGTACAGCCCTGATCTAATGTAAGGTCGTTCCCACACACACGCGTTTACAGCGTGATATTGTGCGTAATGGTTATTATTCCACGGGAACGACCTTTAGTTATCGGTGGTTTCTCGAAGAGGTAAGATCGCAGATGCTCTTAAGCTCAGGTAATTCGTTTTCGGATATCTATTATTTGCAGCAATCTGTTTCAAGAATTATTATTTAATGAAGTGGACGTCACTATAATGAATTTGGTAAGAATCTATGAATCCGTATAATATTTTGTTTAAGAAAATATCACTTAGTATAAAATAAATATATCTTGATCTTTTATTGTATGCAAATATGTGTGTGTGAAGTTTGGTTTTGTTTCTACAGAGAAAAAAAATTTATACTACAATTATATACATACATATAAACATACTACATTTATTGTACCAGCGTATCATACGCAATTATTGAACAATAGATAAGCAAAAATATAGGAGATAAAATTTTATTATTTTAATTGTATATGCATGTACATATATGTATATGTATATAT